TTCCACCACCAGTGTGTGTGTTCACCACCTGTGTGTGTCCTACCTGTGTGTCACCACCTGTGTGTGTCCACCACTTGCGTGTACACCAGTGTGTGTGTTTCACCAGTGTGTCCACCACCAGTGTGTGTCCTCACCAGTGTGTTTGTCACCACATGTGTGTCTGCAATTGTGTGTCCCCACCATTGTGTATGTCCACCACTTGTGTGTCCACCACCTGTGTGTGTGTCCACCACTTATGTGTGTCCACACCTGTGTGTCACCACTAGTGTGTGAGTGTCCACCACCTGTGTGTTCACCACCTGTGTGTCCACCACCAGTGTGTGTGTCCACCACTTGTGTGTTCACCGTGTGTCCACCACCTGTGTGTCCACCACCTGTGTGTGTCCACCACCTGTGTGTCACCACCAGTGTGTGTGTCCACCACCAGTGTGTGTGTGTCACCACTTGTGTGTGTGTCCTTCACCTGTGTGTCACCACCAGTGTGTGTGTTCATCACCTGTGTGTGTCCACCACTTGCGTGTCCACCAGTGTGTCCACCACCAGTGTGTGTGTCCACCACTTGTGTGTGGTCCTTCACCTGTGTGTCACCTGTGTGTGTGTCACCACTTGTGTGTGTGTCCATCACCTGTGTGTCACCACCAGTGTGTGTGTCCACCACTTGTGTGTGCGTCCTCACCTGTGTGTCACCACCAGTGTGTGTGTCCACCACTTGTGTGTGTGTCCTTCACCTGTGTGTCACCACCAGTGTGTGTGTCCACCACATGTGTGTCCCAATGTGTGTCCACCACCAGTGTGTGTGTCCACCACCTGTGTGTGTCCACCACCATGTGTATGTCACCACCTGTGTGTGTCCTGCTTGTGTGTCCACCACCAGTGTGCCACACCTGTGTTTCCACCACCAGTGTGTGTGTCAGCACCTGTGTGTTCACCACCTGGGTGTGTCCACCACCAGTGTGTGTCACACCTGTGTGTCCATCACCTAGTGTGTGCGTCCACCACTTGTGTGTGTCCACCACCTGTGTGTCACCACTAGTGTGTGTGTCCAACACCTGTGTGTCCACCACCTGTGTGTGTCACCACCAGTGTGTGTGTGTCCCACCACCTGTGTGTCCACACCTCCAGTGTGTGTGTCCACCACCAGTGTGTGTGTCCACCACGTGTGTGTGTGTCACCACAGTGTGTGTCACCACCAGTGTGTGTGTCACCACCTGTGTGTCCACTACCAGTGTTTGTGTCCACCACCTGTGTGTCACCACCAGTGTTTGTGTCCACCACCTGTGTGTCCACACACGGTGTGTGTCCACCACCTGTGTGTCCACAGGGTGTGTGTCCCTGACCTGTGTGTCCACCACCTGTGTGTGTGTGTCCACCACCTGTGTCCCACCTGTGTCCACCATCGTGTGTACACCACCTGTGTGTGTGTCCACCACCTGTGTCCACCACCTGTGTGTCCACCACCTGTGTGTTCACCACCTGTGTCTGTGTCCCCCACCTGTGTGTCCACCACCTTTGTGTCCACCACCTGTGTGTCTACCACCTGTGTGTGTCCCACCACCTGTGTGTTCACCACCTGTGTGTCCACCACCTGTGAGTGTGTCACCACATGTGTGTGTCCTCACGCCTGGTGTGTCCATCACTGTGTGTGTCCACACCTGTGTGTGTGAACACTGTGAACACAGCAACTTGCATCCAAAAATACTTAGAGATGAAACAACACCTGGCGAGTAACAACACTTGATATGACACAACAATGGTGGTTGGCTCCGGACACAGGCCCCCACTTGTCGATCCCACTACCCTTTATGCTTGGGGAGTGAATCCTACCCCAAGTTATTAACAAATAAAGGAACAAATAGGGAACAAATAATTATCCTCACCAAAAACCCTCAACCAAATGCACTTGAAAAAGTAAGAACAGTTGAAATAAGTGAATCACAAGAGATAATTAATTAATTCAATTTATGTTCTAAAGGGGTAATGACTAGCAAACATGAATTAAGGGAATAATGTGTGTATAATAAAATAAGTGATGCCGGAAGGGCGAAATATGCTGTAAGGGGTTGGAGCCAAACAATATTACTTAACATTACTATATTACACAGACATGCGAAATATATATATATACAACAATCACTACAAAATGATTATCCCTACCAAACAGAGATACTTACCACCGGATCCTTCAGGCCCTAACTAAACGTGTCACTAATACCTGATACCCTAGGGCATTGCAGGACTGGATAAAGCACTTTAGACAAGGGTCAAGGCTAGAAACGAATGGACACGTCTAACCTATGCCACGGTTTTTCGCTACTGCGGAAGCGTGCCCCTGAGGGAGGAGAGCGTCTCATATCACGTGATTCAGGACATTTGCTGGATATTTTGTATAATTAATTAATATTACTCTTGAGTTGACTTACAGGTAAGACAATGATGCATATAAATAACATACATAAATATACAATTAACCTAGTAACTAAGAACAATAATAATATAATAAGTAAATTAACAATTTATTAATAGCTTGTGTGGTAGTGAACATATGCCTCCACTTGCAGTTCCAGCTACAGGCACGTGACAGTGTCCACCACCTGTGTGTGTGTGTGTCCACCACCTGTGTGTGTGTGTTCACCACTAGTGTGTGTGTCTACCATCTGTGTGTGTGCACAACCAGTGTGTGTGTCCACCACCTGTGTGTGTCCACCATGTGTGTGTGTGTGTGTGTGTCCACCACCTGTGTGTGTCCACCACTTGTAAGTGCGTCACTCACCTGTGTCCACCACCAGTGTGTAGGTCCACCACCTGTGTTTCCACCACTAGTGTGTGTGTCCAACACCTGTGTATTCACCATCTGGGTGTGTCCACCACGTGTTTTACTGCCTCCAATGTGTGTCCACCACCTGTGCGTCACCACCAGTGTGTGTGTGTGTCCACCACTTGTGTGTGCGTCTACCACCTGTGTGTCCACCACTAGTGTGTGTCCAACACCTGTGGGTCCACCTGTGTGTGTCCACCACTTGTGTGTGTCCACACCACTTGTGTGTGCGTCTACCTTTGTGTCACACTAGTGTGTGTGTCCAACACCTGTGAGGGTCCACCACCTGTGTGTCCACCACTTGTGTGTCACCACTTGTGTGTGCGTCTACCTGTGTGTCCACCACCTGTGTGTGTGTCCACACCACCTGAGTGTGTCAACACCTGTAGATCCACCACCTGTGTGTATACACCACCAGTGTGTGGGTTCACCACCTATGTGTGTACCACCAGTGTGTCACCACGTGTGTGTCTACCACCTGTGTGTGTCCACCACTAGTGTGTTATTCACCTGCATGTTTCACCACCTGTGTGTCCTCCCTGTGTGT